AGAGAGGCATTTGACATTTAACCCCAGGGTGAGTTTGTGTTGTATGTAACATAAATTAAATGTTTAGATGTGAGCCCCTGGGGTGGAGCATTCGGAGAGTAGGGTGGGCTGGTGCTCCACTCCTCAGTTTACAAATAACTGGGAGAAATAAGGTCCAGGCCAGGGTTTTGGATTGTTTCCAACCCATTGCCCAGCTGCAGAAGGGGAAATAAAACCTTCCCTGGTAGACAGGTAGGAGACTTTTTATTTCTCCTTTGAGAGAAGGAAGCAGCAGGCTGCCTGAGCACTGGAGTGCAGAGAGTTGACAAGACACTAGGTTGGTGAAACCTTTATTGCTATTGTTATAGTGTAACCCTTGAGAAATAGGGAATTTGATGTTAGTATGCGCTCAGACGAGCTAGGATTTTGTTTGCAGGTATTTATGTTACATTATTGTTTCTTTCATTTGCTGCTGTCTCTGTGGTGAATTTCAACAATAAAGTGCCTGGATTTATGTTAATTCAAAAGACTGTACATGTTTACACCCTAAAGCAGTGGGTCCCAACCCGTGGTACGCGTACCCCCAGGAGTACAATTTAGTGCCCCGGGGCAACACGTAAAAAACCCGGCAGACGCCCCGCACGGGCTGGGTACCGCAAGGTGAGAGGGTTCATTGGGTGGTCCATGCACTTAGGGCCACCCGATGCATATGTGCTATGAAGGGCCCAGTCGTGCGCTGCAGTGCTTTAATAGCGCGACCAGGCCCCTTCTAACCTGACAGGAGAGCTGGGAGGGAGTAAGTGCAATACGCAAACTTCCTCCCAGCTGTGTGGGAGGAAGCCGCGAAGGGGGCGGGGCAGAGAGGATGGGACCTCAACTCTCAACAGCCTGAGCCACAGAAGCCACCCAAAAAGTATGTGTATGTGTCTTTTGGGTGTCAGCATGTATGTAGTGTTTGTGCAGTGTATGTATGTCAGTGTATCTGTATATCTGTGTGTGTGTCAGTGTATCTGTATGTCTGTGTGTGAATCTTTGTCTGTGTATCTGTCAGTGTGCATATCTCTAAGTCTGTGAATCTGAGAGTTTGTCAGTGTGCAGATCTATATGTTTGTGTGTTTGTCAGTGTGCGTATGTGTATGTCTGTATGTGTATCTGTATGTCTGTATCTTTGTGTGGGTGTCAGTGTGTATCTGTATGTCTGTTTATCGTGAGTGTGTATCAGTGTGTGTATTTGTATTTCTGTGTGTCAGTGTGCATATCTATGTTTGTGTATATGTGTGTTTATCAGTGTGCATATTTGTATGTGTGGGTCAGTGTGTGTGTCTGTATCTACACTGCTCAAAAAAATAAAGGGAACACAAAAATAACACATCCTAGATATGAATGAATTAAATATGCTTCTGAAATACTTTGTTCTTTACATAGTTGAATGTGCTCACAACAAAATCACACAAAAATTAAAAAATGGAGATCACATTTTTCAACCCATGGAGGTCTGGATTTGGAGTCACACTCAAAATTAAAGTGGAAAAAAACCACACTACAGGCTGATC